ATTTACTTTTTTGTATTAGGCACGTATTGATTTGTGGGGTTTTGTAACTTCTCACTTTCAAAAGGGATCTGAAATAACATGTTTCTGATATTATACCTGTATTTGAACAGCACCATTCTTTAGCTAATAGTTTCCACAAAGACAGAAGGAGAAAGCTTAAGTAGCAAATGAAGCATTGTTTTCCTGAAAGTCTTAATAAACTGTACTTTACTGTTCAAATTGGCTCCAGTTTATCAAAATACTGAAGCGTTTGTGTAAAACTGAGAATTTAGTCTATCCTTCCTTGTTCAGAAAACAGCAACATTTTAAGTCCCATTGCTAACACTTTGGTCTGCACATTATCAAGTATGTGCTGTTGGTAAGCCAGAGTGAAGTCCTCTCTTTGGCAGGTCAGATGTCAGTCAGAAATTAATCCCTTACCTAGACCTAAATGACTAAAAAGCTAAGAGTATTCAATAGCAGAATAAGACTTACTGTCCTCCATCTTACAGAAGACAGCACTGTCATTCAAATGCAACAACCCAGGAGCTGTTGTGGTGACCACAGTGTAACAAGGTGTCCCTTAGGAGTCTAAGCTGAAGTAGAATAATTTTGCCACTAACATGGATTAGTAAATGCACAGGCATATTTGTCAAGGGAGATGAAGTAAAGGTTAATTATTTAAATCTGACCTAAATTTCCCATTCTTCTGTCTTGTTCCATACTAATAACAATAAATTCCAAGGTAATATTTTGTTATTTGGTCTAAATTTAGAATTATTTATCACCCACATTGGACAAGAAGTAGATTTTCCTTAGTCTTCACCCCAGCTGGTGTATGTAAGCAGGTGCATAATGCTGCCCATTGACACTAGAGTTCGCTAAATCACGTTGGGATATAAAGGGCATATTTGGTCCTATATGGGGATAGTCAGTGCAGATGACAGTTTCTCTCCTGTACCCCCTTATCCTTAACAGAGAAATATGTTGAAACCCTTTACAGGTGGTCTCTTTTAAACCCACATGTATCAGCAACTGGAGTGAACTGTGGTATATGTGTGTATATGCATGTGTGCAAGCATGTGCAACAGGGACCGAGAGAAAGTCACCATAATGCATTCTGCAGAAAAAAATTAGGTTTATCTAGAGACTAATAAAAAATAATTTTGGCAGTGGAGAAGTCCCAAGTGAGGTATCTTAATATTTGTACTGTTGTCACCTATGTGTTAAAGTCTCAAGTAGAGTAGCTAAAATAGTCGTATCTAAAATCCAGAAGAAGAAAAAAACCCTCTCCCTTAGTTCATATTGCATGGGCTGTCTGGCTGGATGCTAAAGTCATGACAGCTTGCATTGTGGCAGGGAGGGCAGTGTGGCTTCCTGATCAAGATCAGCAAATTTCTGATCAACAGCACTTGATTACTGCTCCCTTTGTGGGAAAAGGTTGTTTGGAGGTGAACAAAGCCCTTTTTCACTCTCAAAACCAGATGAGCTGGAGCTGTCTCCAGTATGATTCCTCACAGCTGGGAAAGGACATAGAGCTACACAGTAGCTCTATGAACTGAGACTGATGCATCCTTATCTCAGCCTGCAGGATTCACAGTCAATAGTCACCAAGACCCTCTGGACAGTTTTACTGCCCCATTTCATTGCCTCTCTTGCATGGAAGGTCCGTCAGATATTATAAGGCTTGCCCTTGCAAGATTTTGCATTCCTAGACAGGATTGCAGGGCTGCTGGGAATGTTTGACTGGCATTCAAATCCAAGCCTTATCCCTCTAAATCACATGTCAAGTTTTCTAGGACATCCCCTTTTTAAAGAATGGATTTGGGGTAAAATCAGTCTATCTGCAGTTTCAAGGGCATTTTACAATTTGGGCTTAGCAGGACCAGAATTTCAAATATAGGTTCTTTCTAGAGAAGGGATAAAAAATTACTAAGAAAGTTGAGTTCTAGTATTAGAGGTTGTCATAAGAGCTACAGACCTCTAGAAATGTCAAATTCCTGACACTGACTGTGGGTCAGAACTTTCCATTAAGCTTCTCATCTGGAAGCAAATCTGCCTGAAGATCAGATGACAGACACTAGAAAGCAATGCTTGTTTACATACTCAGAGTTTAAAATAAGAAATTTGCTATCATGTTTATGTTTAAAAAAGGGTTTCTAAAAGGGTTTTTTTGTGAAGAGGCAGCACTATTTGCTTTTACAAAGTAGGAAGCAGACTTTTCTCTGGTATTCATAGCCTATTTGGGAAGTACTTTCCAGCATCTGTGGGCAAAGCTGTTTAAAAACAGTTCTCTACAAAAATAAAGTTGTAAAGCTATAAAGCATTTTTTATCTTGGCAGACCAAAATAATTTTTTTCCCAGTATTTCAGGAAGACTTTGACATTCCCAAAAGTTCATTATTTTGACTTTCTGGGCAGGGTTTTTCTTTTTGTCTTTAATCTTCTACTGATATCAAGAATGATTTTTGTTTATATCAATACAGGGCTCTCTTATTGACATTTTCACTAGGTCCTGCTTTGAACAAAAAAGTAATGGATTTTGTTGTTTTAAAAAGAACAGTTCATTGTTAAATAGGATTCCAAACAGTGGGATTTATAGTCTAATTCTTACAAGAGATTCAGAGTTTGATATCAAGGGCTGGAGCATTTCGTTGTCCATATGGAGCATGTTGTAAAATCAGAAGTTCTAAATTCTTTTCTTTAACTCTATTTTTTTCCTATGTCAAAGAATTAGAATATATTCTTTTTCTGATTCCTGTTGATTGGCAAAGTATTTCCTCACCCTATGCTGTAGAAGAATCATGAATATTTGATGTCTTTCTCCTTCTCTCCTTAATATTTCAAGTAATTCAGCTAGACTATCTCCATCAGTGGGGTAAGCGGAGCTGTAACACCTACTTAAGGGAGTGGAGCCATCTGGTTTCCTTGCAACTTGGAGCCTGCTGGCAAATATTAGGTTGTACCAATTTAAAGCATGATGAAGTGGGAAATAATGGACATTTTTGAAGAATCTGAAATAGGATCAGCTGTTATTGGCAAAAATTGGCAGGTGCAGTGCACTACACTGGCTGTAAGCATGGTCTCAAGTTGAAGAGTGCAGCTGGGAAAATGACTTGCTAATTGAATGGTTGCAGGACTCCCAGCAGCTCTGACAGTAGTGGAGCATCACTAATTGGAGGCTCTTGGCTGAGTTGGTGGAAGCTGTCACTGAATGAAGGACCCTGCAAGTTGATGTTTACTTTCTAAGTGTTAGTGTGGTTTTTGCCTGTTACTGAGAATGAGTCCTCATGGAGTCAGAAGTGTTTTCAAACTTAGGAGGACTGGCTTAAGGTTAGCAATATCTATTTCTTTCATTTACAGCATGGTGACAGTGGTTGGGAGTTATAAAAGCTACTCGATTAGACATTTGTTTAACTGCATTTCTGTTGTCATCTTTCCCATACCTCTCTTTTTCCCTTTTATTTTCACTTGTGTTAAGTTTCTAAATTGGCTTGGAGCAGCAACTATTCTTTTTTTTTATTTATTTATTGACTTGGAAGACCTTGTCCTCAGCTGAGTTTCTTGGATGCTGCCATAATTAATAGAAGTTGTTATAGAAAGAAAAATAGCCTGGTTTTGGTCCAGAATAGTATTACATACACCTCTGATTTTTGTGGGTGTCAAAATAGCAGTGAATGCAAAAGCACGTATGCATTAGCTATATCTCCCCTTTTCGTCTGTTGTTTTTATTCAATAAATGCAAACATATTGCGGTGCATCCTAGTTTAATATAAAGGTCTGTTGGCAAAATGTGGCATTTTCCCTCAGCTGTTAGCACCCCTTGAGGGAAGAAGTATTGGCAACGAGTGCTGTGCAGAAAGCACTGCTGACTTCAGAGTATACTTCATGTATCATTAGTGACTGTAGCATCCCTGTGAGGCTAAAAACTCTCCAGCTATGTAAGGTGTAGCTATTCTGTATAAGTTATGGAGGCTAGCAGGTAAGATGCTTCAGTGACAGGGTTGTGCCACCCAGCATGCCTCTGGCATTTATAGGCACAAGGTTATCCCTGAATGCGGATTGGATGAGGAGCAGTGGGCTGAAACCTTGTCTGAGTGTCCTGGTGCTCTGCAGTCTCCCTGGGCCGTAGGCCAAGTTTTGAACTCTTCAAGAGGACTGATGAGACTACTTTTTCAAGCTGGACCCTGAGCAAATCTTGCAGTGGCCATTAAGGTCTTCCACAGCTTAGGTGATACAGCTGGGAAAAATATCTTCAGTTTGCATCTGCATTTGGATAACCTGTGTTAGGTGAGAGGCAGAGAGATGAAACTGGAGGGATTTGGAAGCCGTACCTCTGGATCAAAGCCATGTGTGACAAACATTAAACATAGGGCTATGATGGAGCTGGGAATAGCAAAACATTGATGCCTCTTTCACCAGGCTCTGACTCACCAGCCTGGGACAAGCTATTTTGGGGAATGCCATTTTTTTTAAATGTCATAGCTTGATATGGACCAATTTATGGTGCCTAGTTCTAGCCTACCTCTCTTTTAATTTTCCCAGCATTAACTAGTGGATGGAAATAATTCACCTGACTTCATAAAATTAAATAATTCATGGATTCATTTAGGTTGGAAAAGACTTCTAAAGCCACCCAGTCCAACTGTTAGTCCAGCACTGCCAAGCCCACCACAAAACCATGGCCCTGAAGTACTGTGTCTTTTAAGTCTTTTTAATACCTTCAGGGACAGTAATTCCACCACTTCTCTGAGCAGCCTGTTCCAGTGCTTGACAACTCTTTCAGTGAAGAGATTATTCCTTATTCCAATCTAAACCTCCCCTGGTGCAACTTGAAGCCATTTCCTCCTGCCCTCTCAGTTGTTACCTGGGACAAGAGACCAACCCCCACCTCTCTACAACCTCCTTTCAAGTAGTTGTAGAGAGTGACAAGGTCCCCTCTGAGCCTCCTTTTCTCCAGTGGAGGGACCTTATCACTCTCTACAACTCCTTTTTTAAATTTCACTTTTCTTCCCCACACAGCTGAATGAATCGGCCAAGCAGCTCATCGAGATGGACAAGACTTGCTTGGCTGCTGCCTCTGGCTGTGACATGCCGCTGGCGACAGAGACGGCGGCAGTGGCGGCGGCGGCAGCGGTGGGTCTGGCGCCGTGCTCCACGTTGGCCGGTGCTGGGGCAGCTGGGGCAGCCCAGCGGCAGGTGGAAGGCAAGAAGAATGCCAAGAAGCGCCACTCCTTCACTGCCCTCAGCATGACACACAAGTCCTCCCAGGCTGCCAGCAACCGGCACTCCATGGAGATCAGCGCCCCCGTTCTCATCAGCTCCAGCGACCCACGGGCAGCTGCCAGGATCGGGGACCTCACCCACCTCTCCTCCAGTGCCCCAGCCCAGGTAAGGCAGGGGTGGAGGTGGGCTTTGGGCATCCTTAGCAGATGTCACACCATTGCATCACCTCTTTCAAAATGGCTGACCCTTGCACGAAGCAGTCGCGTGGTGCTGTCATCCTGGTGTGATGGCACTTGGCATCTGCCGTTCTCATCCTTATGTTAATCAATGGGCAGGCTAGAGGCAATCAGGAGCTGAAGGATAAAGCCAAATTTGAGGCAATCAGGAGTTGGAGGATAAAGCCAAATTGGATTCACAGTAATGGAACACTTTTAAAACAAAAAAGTAATCCTACAGTTTGTTTGAAGTAATGCAGTTTATGTTGCATCAGTTTCTGTTATAGAAAGGAGTAATTTTGAGTGATTCCATTACCCTGAATGTAGCTGCTACCCTGCAGGGTAGCAATGTTGGTATGAAATTCACACATTGGGGATAAAAAAGAGTTTCGGAATAATTATTTCCATACAGATCACTGGAGGATGAGCAAATGTGCCATACTTTGACAAATGTTGTACCCAGCAAGAAGCTGCTGTTCAGAAACACCCAAGGAATTTTCAAACCATCACACATGCTAAGGGTGCAGCACTCTCTATCCTTCACCCTCTCAAAGGAGAGTGTAGAGGAGCATCCTCCTGGACATTCTCACAGGTCCCAAAAGGAGCTTCTGAGAGCTGGCAGGAACAGGAGCCAAACTCACCAGGAGTGTACTGAAACCCCTTGCAATTTCCCACTGTTTCTGTGGATAAGGAAGTCCAAGTGCAAATTTGCAGTTTGAAGGTGCAGATGGGAGAATAATTAGTCCCAAAACTCTTCTGCCTCAGTCTTCCTGCTCAGTCATCTACACATTTGGTGTGCAGATTAGCACATTCATTCTACAGACCAGCTCCTCATGGTCTGCTCTGCTTGGCATGGCAGTGCTTGGCACTTAAGCATGGCAGGGTCTTCCCACCCATCATTGCTGAAAAAAGCCATCCTTGCCCTTTCCTCTTCCTGGCTTTGCCTTCCAGCCCCTCACATCCCCATCCCCATACAGGGACAAACATGGATCACCTGCCATCCCTGTGGCCTGGAGCAGGAAGAGATCCATGTTACATGCTGGTATGCATGTAGACAGCTGGACGAGGGACAAGCAGCAAACTGTAGGGACCGTCTGGGGCAGAAGTGCTGTTTATGTCCATCTGCAGTGTTGGTGGGTCTCCCCTATGAGGCTGATGTGGTGCACCAGACTGTGGGGTCACTCTTGATGGCTGCACCCTGCTGCAACACGACATGAGCCCTCAGGTCCCTGCAATGCAGGTTTGCAAGGAAACTGGGGAAGGCAGGATGCCTGCATGCATGTCAGTGTGTGTGCCACAGGGCCAGCCAAAACAGTGTACTAAGAGGACATTGCCACAGTGGAGCAGAACCCTGTGGTCCTGCCTCAGCTGCTAGCCTACCTCCATTGCCCATCCACATGTAGGAGCCAGAGAGACAGCTCAGTCCAACTGTAACTATGCTAATTTTCTTCCAAGTGCCTTTTCCAGGCAGTGTTTCTGTGCTGTAAGGTCATTCCCCTCCTTTCAGCCTTCATTAGGAGGGTGAAGGTGAGGATATGGCCCCCACACAAAGCAGCAAATGTACCAAGATGTACTGGGACATCTGTGAAGCAGCACAAGCACTAGACATGAGTGAGGGTCCCAGACTCGTCAAGGACACACAGGTTTTTGGCACTCAGTGACACGTTTGGACTTTACAGAGATGTGACAGACAGTTTTCAGTTCTTGTGCTAGTTGAGAGAAATACCACACACCCCCTTTGCTAGAGTCATTGGAAGACTCATTCTGAGATAGTAAACCACAAAAATTAGACCATGAAACAAAAAGAGCCTTGATTATTCTCTCCTGCTTTATACAGAACAAGTGGTGGGCAAAACCCCAGTCACTTCTCAAACCATTGTGGCATTTGCACACAAGTGGTAGAGGACAAGAAGGGCCTCAGGTTCCTGGTAACAAGTTATGAGTATCAAAATCCAGCCTGCAGGAATGTTGGTCGGGTCCATTGCAGCGGATGGGGAGACGTGTAGTTGGTGTCATGGTCAGAAGCTCAACTAGGGCTGGGGTACAATGAAGTCATTCCTGTGCCCATGGCTGGAACAGCTTTGGGGAGGAGTTCTGCCTCAGGGCGTAGAGCCAGTTTGCAGAGAAGGCAGCTGAGCACATGCCTCTATCAGTGCTGGCCAAAACTGTCCTGGCCAAAATCCAGCAAGGGGAAAAAGAGCCTTGGTGGTTCAGATCAACCTTAGTGAAAAGAGGTTTCCCTCTGCCAAAAAGTGTTATTGCAGCCCCAAGGACCCTGCCACCACAAGTGTGGCATTTACACATATAAGTACGTAGCTCTGCTTTTAAAAACTTTGCTATTTGCTTTCTAATTTGGGGGATTTAAACATTTTCCTTTGCAAACTTTGCTATGAATGTGGATCTGTAGGGGAAAAAAGTGGGGCTGAAGTTTTCACTATGACTGTAGGAGCAACCTTCAGAAAAATGCTTCACCCCATAGGACTAGCAATAAAATCAAAAGAGCTACCAACATGAATTCACATGATTTTAAGCCTTCTTAGGTTAGGTCTACAAAGAGTACAGAATTTGTCTCTTACCAAATGTACATTACAATTGTGCAGCTATATTTATATAACTATTAATCCCATAATAATAAAGGTTACATTTTAATTAAAAATGTCAGAAATTCAGTCCCTTCTCTGCCATCTGCTAAGACCTGACATGGCTCTAAAGCAATTAATGATGTTGCAGCCTTAGACAGAAAATCAGTTCAGCACTTTTCTTTTATTCACATGGCTGAATGCCAGCCAAAGTAGCATAAACAATGGGCCCCATGAGCTCTTACATCAAGGCATTCAGCGCAGTGAGAATCTTGTCTTCAGATCATTTTGCTCGAAAATGCATTTGGCATTTTTAAGGTAAATGCCCTGTACATGTTGTTCAGGGTTTGACGTCTTGACAAATTTGCAAACTGATTCTACTGCTGCTCTGGAAGTGCTCAGGGGCATTGCTGAGAGCATGGGCAGGTCGGTAGGAAGGCTGTGCATGTAGCTGCCAAACTCACCGGTGAGCTCTACTGCAGGAAGATGTCTCACCTTTTCTTTCCTCACTTGAAGAGGAAACTCTCTGCACTGCAAGTCATTGTCACAGCCTTTGAGTGGTTCTTTCTGTAACCATCTCAGGCCCTTGCTAATTTGCAACAGCAAATTTAGCCAAAGCTTATTTCTTGTAGGGGAAACAACAAATTTACAGTTTCAGTATGGGCTATCTAGCAAATTTATGTCTTTCCTTTTAAAATTAGAATGTAAATTTGGTTTATTGTGTCTTTATATCATGTCCTTGAAATTTCCAGGCCATTTTTCATTGTTCATTTAATAGATCTCTTCATAAAAAGAAATAAAGGAATTTTGTTCACTTTAGTAGGTATGAATTTCTCTGGAACATATCAGGATTGGTACTTAGCTTGCAGCGGGAGTCTACATTCTGAAAAAGTTCAACATGGTTCTCCTGTAGCCTGTCCTTTGAACAAGCAGAATTCAATTACAGGAGTTTTTGAATGGCCTCCAGTCCCCTACCCCAAGGCAACCGGCTGGTGCCCAGCGAAACAGTGTCCTGAAAACAACCATCCATTTTCCTTGTAGACCTGAGGCACCCACATCTGGAGCACCTACTTTCTTTCTGCTGACATGAGAAGAAACAGAGACAACTAGGGCTTCTTGTTGCAGAAACTTAAAATTTAGGTGCAAATTTTACATGTCTCCATAAATGTGGCATATATTCCACCCCTTAGAAGTGATTTCATGCATACTACTTTACTCCTATGGCTTTTGTCAATTTTTGTGAATTGAAACCAGACTTCTATGCCGAGCTGACATGTTTTTTGCTTTTATGAATTGTTACACTGTTATAAGCCCCCTGCTTCTCCAGGAGAGCACAGATTTCTATATTGAGCACTGACATCCAGACCAGACTATGAAATCACATGTTTTGAAAGCACTTCTGCATATCAATTATTTAATAATTGAAGACTACGGGCCTTCCATAATATGTTCATTATTCTTTAAGCAGAACCAACTCAGCTGTTTCCCAAAAGCCAAGATGCATTTTGAAATGAATGATGGTCTTAAAAAACGTCTTTACTGACCGCAAACTTAGGGATGCTAGAAAGGTAGAAGAATCAACTTCAAGTCACCTCAGCTGAGTAAAATAGTGTCTGGAATTCCACAATAGCCAGGATATAGAGCATTTAATTTCAAAGAGGCAATGCCGGAATCTTAATTTTTTCTGCACCAAAATTTGCTTGTATGCTTTTTGCTGCATGCTGAGCATCACTCATTAAACATAAGATCTCCGTCTGAACGGTAATAGTGTCTGTCCATCATGCAGAATGTCCTATCATACTGGCAAAATGAATTTTTATTGAAGATGTAAGTAGTGCTGCGAGCCTGTGATGGAGCTGAAGCTGAATTAGGTTACAGGTGCAGAGGAGCAGTTCGCAACTGAGACTCCCTGGGGAGCAGGCAAGGTCCCCCTGGAAAGTAATTGTGCCTAGGCCTCAGATGGCTTGTCTTGCTTCCATTTTCACCCCTCATGAATTATTCGTCCCTGCTAGTTGAAAAGGTCATAGGTCACTACTGCTCCAAATCCCCTGGATTTTGACAGAAAATACGTCTCATGAATAATGAAGTATGGCTTTGTGCACACCAGGGTAACAGCTGAGTGAGGAAGAAAGGATCCTCCCCCCAGAAGAAACTTCTGTATGTTTTGAACAACTGATCACCATGCCCAAGAAGTCAATTTGTATCTGCAAGTATTAGTACAAGCTCCCAACCAGAGGACACATGTTCAGGAAAAGCTGAGAACAATGTCTTGCATGCTCCTAGTCCCAAAGAGTGACAGTATTTGAAATGAAAAATGTTCTTTGAAGTCTCTTGCTATATAAATCATTTGGAATTGTGTCCTTATCAGTTA